CTGGTGCCTTCTTGGTTGCAGAAGCTTGGCTCTGCTGGGCGAGGAGGGAGACAGGACTCATGCCCAGGGCTGGGGTGGCACACTGGCTTCTTTGGCAGCATGGGATCTCCAGAGGTCCAACTTTCCCTGGAAAACCCGTCAGTGGGCAAGGATAGTCTTCCTTGGGAGTAATTTTCTCTCTCATGCCAAGAGCTCACTGTGATTTCAAAGTGCCTGTGTGGCTTCATTTGGGTCACGTGGTTTTCTGTGGCTGCCAGTGGCACAGTGGTACCTGGGTGTGGTCTGGGGGCTCTGGAAGGGGGAGAATGCATCGTGCGTTTGAATGAACCCCAAAACTTCTTTCATCAAGCTCACTTCAAGTGACCAGAGGCTGGGCCGGCCCCTTCCTGTCCTGAGCTGGCCAGCTGCAGGGTCCCCTTCCCTGTGGCAGGCCAGGTCAATCTCAGGTGCTAGGGCTTCCAGTCAGCCCCCCAAGGACCTATCCTGGCACTTCTGATGAAGGTAATTCATCTCTTTACCAAGGAGGGGGTGGGGTGTAACTGGGAGAGGGTTTGGGGTATGCAAGATTGCAGGTTTGGCTTGACTCTGCCACTCCTGGGGCTCGCCTTCTTCAGAAAGCAGAAAATGACCATGGCGGTAATAGCCACAAGCTTTTCTCTGCTCTTTCCTCCTTTGAAAACGGGCAATAATTGGCCAGCTGCACAGGCTTTTACATCCAGCACACAGGAATCCAGACTTGGGGGCTTCTTAGAGGCAGCTGGGCCTGTGTCAACTGCCTGAGATCCGATTCCAGCTCTGACACAGCTGTGTGACCCTGGGCAAGTTCCAAACCTCTCTGAGCCTTAGCTTCCTGCTGCCTCTTAACCACAGTACTGTCTTGGAATTGGCGATCACTGGCAAATCTGAGGTGCAGGGGTCAGTGGCATCTGTCCTCTGTGGAGGGGATTCTTAGTGCAGACATCTCCCTACTCTCCTTCATCACCCTCTGCCCAGTTTGGCAGCTTCACTTTTAGGGCAAAAGTCAAGCCTCATTCCCCAGGATCTCGCAGAGGCGGGTCCTGGATCAGTCAGTAGCAGCATCATTCTGCCCCTGCTCTGACAAAGGGAGGCCAGGCTGGGGCCGCAGGGCTGCCAGGCATAGGATCCGCTCCTGGAAAGAGCAGGAAGCTGTGTTTGCCACCGAGGTACTGACAACTTCAAAGAAGCCCACGACACCCAGCCCCTCCTCAGGCTCAGAAAAAGGGAAGGGGGGTGGTGGGGGGAGGGGAGTGGAGGTGAAAGAGAGACTGGGATCTGAGAAATACTAAGCAATAAAGGGCTTTAAAATAGATTTACTTTAATTATATAGTTCGGTAACTTGCTGTAGTTTCCCATCCCATTATTAAATTACAACAGTAACTCATCTAATGGATTTTCGCTGAGAAAACATTCATTTTATTTTATTGTGTTTTTGTGCTATAGTCTATAATGAAGGCAACCAAGCCGCCCTTGTACCCGGAATGGGCCAGGGTGTGGGGAGGGGGTCTGAGGACCAAGGCGGGAGTCAGGATGCCACCTGCTAATTCCTGGAGCCGCCAGGGGCTGTCAGCCGTGAGGACCTGAAGCTGGAGGACTGGGGAGGGAGGAGATGTCTCAGCAAGAAGGAGAGGCCGAGGTAGGGTCTCAGGGTGTGAGAGGGGTGCAGATGGGATCTGCTGGAGACACATAAGCCAACCTCTACCTGTAGGCAAGACAGACAGATCCGGGCCATGACATCCCCCTGGGTCTGAGCAGGCCCTGGCAGCAGGGAGGAGCTGGAGCAGTTCTCTTGAGCTTCTGTTTGGCTGCTCTTTGGAGGTGAGATGGGAAACATTAGGGGTGAAGAGGCAGCAGGAGTTGGCCGGGCACGGTGGCTCACACCTGTAATCCCAGCACTTTGGGAGGCCAAGGCGGGTGGATCACATGAGGTCAGGAGTTCCAGATCAGCCTGGTCAACATGGCGAAACCCTGACTCTACTGAAAATGCAAAAAATTAGCCGGGTGTGGTGGCAGGTACCTGTGATCCCAGCTACTAGGGAGGTTGAGGCAGGAGAATCGCTTGAACCCAGGAGGTGGAGGCTGCAGTGAGTCAAGATCGTGCCACTGCACTCCAGCCTGGGCAACAAGAGCGAAACTCTGTTTCAAAAAAAAAAAAAAAAAAAGAGGCAGCAGGAGCATCGGAAGATGGCCCTGAACAGTTTTCATTTTCTTTTCTTATTTTTCTTTTTTTTTTTGAGACATGGTCTCACTCCATTGCCCAGGCTGGAGTGCAGTGGTGCAATCTTGGCTCACTGCAACCTCCACCTCCCAGGTTCAAGCAATTCTCCTGCCTCAGTCTCCTGAGTAGCTGGGATCACAGGTGTGTGCCACCACGCCTGGCTAATTTTTAGTTTCTGGGCTTGATGGAATGTTTCTTCTGTTTCTTCATCTCTTTTTTCCACAGCTCTTTTAAGTTGGAGCCATCGGCCACCTCTGAATCTCCAAATGTCACTCCGCCAGAGGATCAAACAAATATATAGAGAAAAAGAACATACTGGGGTTGTCCCCACAGCCCTCTGTGGCGGGGACTGAAGTTGTCACTGGTAATAAGAATAACAATAATAATACTTTTAAAAAGCATGTTTTGAGCATTTAGGGTTTGCTTGGCCTTGTGCTAAGCATCTTTTAAGTATATTGTTTAAAAAGTTATCACAGGACTGGGCGAAGTGGCTCATACCTATATTCCCAGCACTTTGGGAGGCCGAGGCGGGTGGATCAACTGAGGCCAGGAATTCAAGACCAGCCTGGCCAACATGGCAAAACCCCATCTTTATTAAAAGTACAAAAATTAGACAGCTGTGGTGTTGTGTGCCTGCAATCCCAGATACTCAGGAGGCTGAGGCAGGAGGATCACTTGAACCTGGGAGGCAGAGGCTGCAGTGAGCTGAGATGGTGACACTGTACTCCAGCCTGGGCGACACAGCAAGACTCCATCTCAAAAAAAAAAAAAAGTTATCAGACCAAAGATCAAAACAATTGAACTCATGGACATCGAGGGTGAAAGAATGGTTACCAGAGGCTGGGAAGAGTGGTTGGAGGCTGGAAGGGAGGTGGGGATGGTTAATGGGTACAAAAAATAGTTAAAAAAAGAGAAGAAGATCTATCATTTGATAGCAAAATAGAATGACTATAGTCAATAATAACAATTGTACATTTTAAAATAAAGAATGTCATTGGATTGTTTGTAACTCAAAGGATAAATGCTTGAGGGGATGGATACCCCACTCTCCATGATGAGCTTATTTTACATTGCATGTCTGTATCAATACATCTCATGTACCCCATACATATATATATATTTATACACTTACCATGTACCAACAGAAATTTAAAAAATTTAAAAAGAGTATAAAAAATAAAATTATCACATCAATCTTATGAGGTAGCTATTAATAATTGTTATTCTTCATTTACACACAAGAAAACCGAGGCTCAGTTTCGCTTATAAGATGGATAGCTACTAAGTGCCTGATGGAGATCTTGAACCCCGACAACACGACCTGAAGCTCATGCCAGTCCCCATGGGTTCTCTCTTTTTGTTTTTTGAGACAGGGTCTGCCTCTGTCGCCCAGGCTGGAGTGCGGTGGCATAATCTCAGCTCACTGTAGCCTTGACCTCCCGGGCTCAGGTGTTCCTCCGCCTCAGCTAATTTTTGTATTTTTAGTAGAGACAGACTTTTGCCATGTTGCCCAGGCTAGTCTCAAATTCCTGGGCTCAAGCAATCCTCCTGCTTCAGCCTCCCAAAGTGTTGGGATTACAGGTGTGAGCCACCACGCCCAACCTGCGTGGGTTCTCAGAGTTAGTGGGCAGGCCCACCTGGGCAGACCCCATTCCCGGAATTCAGTGGGGCCAGAGGCAGGGCCTTCCGGGAAGGGCCCTTTGTAAAGCATCTCAGATAAGAAGCTGTGCTGAGCTGCAGGCCTCAGAGACCTGAGCTGCAGTCGAGGTAGCTGAGCTCCAGGGTTGCTCCCCAGATAGGCTTGTGGAGGCTCTGTCCTGCTCTTCCTCCCTCCTGCTCCTGGGGCAGCCACAGCGCTGCTCCCTGGAATGGGAGTTGCCTGGCTCCTGCTCTCCCTATCTGGCCTTCTGTTGGCCCTGCCTGGCCCTGAGTCCACAGGGATGGAGCCTGGCCCAGCCTTGGGGCTGATGGGTGGGCCTGGAAACTTAGCGCCTGGCTGAGGCCCTGTTGCCAGGCCCTGCCTTGGTTCTGCTTGTTGCTTTATTGCTCTTACCTGCTCACGCCTGCATGTGCCCTTTCTGGCCCTGCCCACACTTGCAGCTCACACGAAGGGCCTCAGGGGCCTGCTATCCCTGTCCTATCCCGCAATTCGCTTCCCTGCGACCCCGGGCCCAGCCCTTCTGCCTTGTCCCCAGCAACTCCTCAGGCTTCTACTGGCCTTGATCTCGGGATTCAAGGTGACCAGCTTGCTACTTGAGGCCACCTACGGTAAGACCCCTTCAGCACCCTCTGGCTCAAGGCTGTCCCTGGAGGGGCTCACACCTGCCTCACCCCAGCCACAGGGCCATGGTGTGCTGCAGTCCCCAAGCCCACTCTGTGCCCAGTCACTTCCTCCATCTCACCTGTGGGGAGGGTCTCCCCCTGGTCCTAGTTCAGGCCTCCTCTGTCCTCTACCCTGAGACTCCTCATGCTCCCAGCCTTGAATCCCCTGAGATCTGATGAGGAGGAGGAGAGAGGGGAAAATGCCTGCTCACCTGCACATTGTCACGGGAACAAACCATCCTCACAGGGACTGGCATTTGTAAGCCATTGCCATACATGCTTGGTACGTTAGAAATCCAGAGGGCAGAATGCCTCCCTCTCTCCACTACAGATAAAGGTAACCAGGCAGGTCCGAGTGAATGAACAACACACCACGGTGTCTTTTTTAACAAATCCCTGGCAACTAAGCTTCCTCACCACAAACAAACGAACAAGTGCCATTCAGCAGCCACTCCAGGCTGGTGTTAGGTCAGTGCCTGGCCAAAGGCTCATGATGTTTATGGAAAGCAGGTTGCAATGGCTCGGGCGGGAGAGTATAATTGATGGACAAATTAAGCACTCAAAGGCCATCCATTTGCCTCCAACCTGGAGCCTCTTAGCCAGGGATACAGAGAGAAGAAGAGGAGGAGGAGGTGAGTTCCGTCTGTTACCTCTTGATTTCCCTCTCTGAGAGCCGAGCTTGCTTCATTTGCTGCCCCGGAAATTCAGCCGGCCCCTTTTGCTGGAGCAGGCCGTGCACGGTGGGTAAGTGAGCCATCCGTGTGCACTCTGTGGCTTCCGCATCTCTGGTGCGGTGCAGGCATGGCTCTGAGATATTCTGAGCACAGGCGTCTGGGTGCCGTTACTCCACATTCTGGGACACTGGCTATCGCATCTTCGGTGTCACTGAAGCTGTAGCGCATTCTTTTACGCCGGGAAATCCCATGTCTGATGCGACAGTGTTTCTTTAGGACAAACCCTCTCTAGCCTACGGTGGCGTCCTGAGTGTGTGGTGTCCTGGTTTAGGGGTTTAGGAACCTCAAGGACGTGGGAGACAGAATCTCCAGCGGCTCCCCGGGAAGCCTCGATCTCTGTGGTCCTCCGTGGTGGGCATTTGGAGGGAGTGAGCCTTGGTTGTGAAACTGGAACGAGCTTGGGTTTCCAGCTGATGGGAGCTTTTATTTCTGATGTGGTTTACTGCCCATTGGTTTCTAAATTACAGCTTTACCGTCACCCTCTGTGTGTTGCAGGTTTGGTTTCCCAGGCAGCAGGCTGAGTCTGCAGGATGGTTATTGAAGAACAATGGAGGCAGATGCTGGAGCGGCTGCGGGAGAGCCTGGCTTGAGGGCAGCCCTCAGAGCTGTCCTGCCTGGGCTGAGGTGGCCAGCCCTGCTCTCCAGCACAGGCATTTGGCTGTGGCCCCTCAGGGGAGGGTGTCGCCATGGGCAGGGCTTTCTGCAGCTGAGGGGTCCTGGAGCGAGCTGCCAGCAGCAGGTAACGCATCCACCATGAGAGTCTGGCGTCCACCGCGTGGTCGTGGTGCTTGGGGCTGGCCTCACTGACCCTCCAGGGTGGCCAGGACCTGAGCCTTGGCCTCCACATCCTCACTCTCAGGTCCTAGCCAGTACATTCAAGTTCCCTCTGTCTGTTCAGAGAACTCTTACCCATACTGTAAGACCCAGGTCAAATGTCACCTTTGCTGAGCTGCCTGTCTCTGACAGCCACCTCTCCAGCACCGGAGCTCCATTCTCCTCTCAAGGCTCCACAGCGCCTCCTTCCTACCCATCCTGGAATTTACATTCATCCTCTGGAAATAATGTCTTGCAAGCCTGCTCCCCACCCCACACTGACCGGGATTCCCTTGGGGTCAGACACTGTCTTTTCTTTCTCCTTTCATCCTTGGTTCCCAGTGTCATGCCTGGAACCTGAAAGCGGCTCCTGATTTTGCTGAATGAATGTAGGAGGGAGGCCAAGGGAAGGAGTGGTGGGGGACCCTCCTCCAGCCAAGCAGACCCCCAGGTGTCAGGCCCCAGGCAGAGCCCCCTTCCCCCAGCCTGGGACCCTCACTGCTTCTCACTCCTGTGGGCAGGAAAGGCCCCATCCTCAGGGGCCACAGTGGCAGAGGCCCCTGGGGAAGCGATGACAGACAGGGACAGCCACCCCTGCCGATATCACTCCTTGACCCTTGTCCTCCTTGGAGAACCTCCCCTGGATTCTCAGTGGCCAGAGCTCTGTCAGCTTGACGGGTGGAACGAGGGTTACCAGGAGCCCTTCCTTCTGGTTTAAACTCCCTCCTCTTCCCCGACTAGGAGAGTCTGAGAGCAGAGGAGGGCGGGGGCTCACCCCTGGGGTGAGGATATTGGGCTCTCCCTCCCTGGGGCTGCCACCCGGCCCTTTAAAGGTTAAGTGTGTTTATGCAGCATCTTCAGGAGGCTGCCGGGTCTGACAGAACGGAGAGAAGAGTGATTAATGGCTGGTGTCCTTGCTGCCACCACTACAGGGAGGGAGGCTTCAACAGCTGCCCAGGAACCACTCGTGTGACTCCAGGCTTCGGCCTTTCAGCAGACTTCGGGACAAACTCTTCTGGGCCAAGAGGAGGCTGCGATTCTGGAATGGGGCCTGGAGGGAGGCTGGGGAGCTGCTGTCTTGGGAAAACCAGAGTTTGCTCCAGGCCAGAGCAGATCCTGTGGGGCTGCAGGCAGAAGAGAACAGAAGTTTGTGAACCACTGAGACTTTTAGAAATTCATGACTTTTACATCATGCCCTGTAATACAGTCCGATGTGTCTTAGTAGAACAATTATGTTTTAGGTTGTGCAACAATCAAATTATTTAAGTTAACACCAGCCAGGTGCAGTGGCTCATGTCTAAAATCCCAGCACTTTGGGAGACCAGGGCAGGAGAAACACTTGAGCCCAGGAGTTGGAGACCAGCCTGGGCAACATAAGGAGACCCCATCTCTACAAAACATTTAAAAGTTATCTGAGTGTGGTGGTGCCCAAGACTTGGGAGGCTGAGGTGGGAGGATCGCTTGAGCCCAGGGATTAGAGGCCATGGTGCATCATTGTACTGCAGCCCGGGGCGACAGAGCAAGACCCTGTCTCAAAACAACGACGACGACCACAACAACATTTAACCTTCCCATTCCAATTTACTTAAGTAAAATGGTTCCTCCAGCAAGATGAGCTGATAAGCGGGTCCTGAGCCCCTCACCCGGAGCTCCTGAGGGCCCCAGTTGGACAAACCCGGGCTTACAGGCATCCCTGGGAGGGGGCGGGGAGGAGGTGGGGATGGGGAGCTGGGGGGAAGCCAGCGTGGCCTCAGGTTTTTCCCACCACCCCAAGGCCTGGGCCTGTGTTGGAGGTGTGCTGGGCTTGCCTCTTGAAGTCAGGGCTCCATTTTGCAGCATGGCATCAGGCACAGCCTGGGTGCTCAGAGTGGGCTTTGAGTGAATGACAAATGCATGAAAGGTGACTTTCAGAGCAGGGTTCAGGGGAACCCAGGTGTCAGGGGGATGACCAGGCCCTTGCCCAGGAGGGAGGAGTCTCAACTGCGGGGAGTGGGCGGGGGAGAGTGGATGGGAGGGCGGGGGGCACGCAGCCCCAAACCTGGCACTCCAGCCAGCCTTGGGCCTCTGCCACCCTGTTTGGGGTCTTCGGTGCAAGCATTCCTGCAAGAGTTCCTTGCGTGCCCCCCCCTTCCCATCGGGAGAGGCTGGAAGTGCGGTGGTCGCCTGCGGTGCCCCCAGCTGTTGTGGGTGCTTCTTCACGGTCAGTTCCTCTGACCTGGGATGGCAAGACTCGTCTTGAAGGGTGAGAAGTAATATCTCCAAAGGCCCATCAGGGTGCCTGGCAAGGGCTGCTGCTCTGTTATTATTATTATCATTAACGTTGGGATATGGGCATTGAACTCACCCCTTGAGAGTTGAGGAGCCCCTGGTGGGGGACACTAAGCACCTGCCCCCACCGAGGGGATGAGCTGCAGTTGGCACAGAGCTCTCTCCCACTCCAAGTCCTGCCTTCCCCGCCAGGCCACAGCTGCCCCAATCACGGTGCTTCCCAAAGGACTTTCTGCAAGTGACCCTGGCCTCATCTCTTTCTGAGAATTGTAGATGCCTCAGGGAGAGGGACACTGTGCCGGTTTCCTGTGGCTGCTGTAACAAATCGCACAGACTGAGAGCCTGCGAACAGCAGGCATGGATCCTCTCACGGGTCTGGAGGCCAGAAGCCCGAGATCAAGGTATCAGCGAGGTGGGTTCCTTCTGAAGACTCCAGGGGAGAAGCCACCGCCCGCCTCTCTCCTTGCTTCCGGCGCTTGCCTGCAGGCCTTAGTGTTCCTTGGCTTGTAGACACCTCACTCCAGCCTCTGCCTTGGTGGTCTCATGCGTGTGTCTCTGTGTCCAAATTTCCCCTTCTGGCCAGGCGTGGCGACTCACTCCCATAATCCCAGCACTTTGGGAGGCTGAGGTGGGTGAATCACTTGAGGTCAGGAGTTCAAGATGAGCCTGGCCAACACTATGAAACCCCGTCTCTGCTAAAAATACAAAAATTAGGCAGGCGTGGTGGCAGGCACCTGTAATCCCAGCTACTCGGGAGGCTGAGGCAGGAGAATTGCTTGAACCCCTGGGAGGTGGAGGTTGCAGTGAGCTGAGATCGAGCCACTGCACTCCAGCCTGGGCGACAGAGCAAGACTCTGTATCCAAAAAAAAAAAAGAAAAGAAAAAAAATCCCTTTATTTTTATTGATTTATTTCTTTATTTAGAGAGGGAGTCTCACTCTGTCGCCCAGGCTGGAGTGCAGTGGCAGTATCTCAGCTCACTGCAAACTCTGCCTCCTGGGTTCACGCCATTCTCCTGCCTCAGCCTCCCCAGTAGCTGGGATTACAGGCACCCGCAACCACGCCCGGTTAATTTTTTGTATTTTTAGTAGAGACAGGGTTTCACCATGTTAGCCACGAAAAATTCCTTTATTTTAAGGATGCCAGTCTTTGGAATTAAGTCCCACCCTAATCCAGTAAGACCTCATCTTAGCTTGATTACATCTGCAAAGACGCTATTCCTGAATAAGGTCACATGTACAGATGCTGGGAGAACACAGTTCAACCCCCTGCAGACACAGCTTCACACCTGCCACCAGCTCGAGTCCCAGACGCTGCTTTCAGGGGAGCCCACGCCAAGGCAGCAGGCGGGAGTCTGTCTGTCTGGAGGATCCGCGGGGAGAGCAGGTCACTTCGGGGTTTGTACAGGGAGGCAGGATGGTGGCTGTGCAGAGGGAGAGGAGGGAGATGCAAAAAGACCCCAGGGAAATGAGGAACAGATGGGGACAGGACACAGGCCTGGGGAGGGAGGTGGGATCCTTAAGTCTCAGGGGTGGGGGAAAGAAAGCTGAAGGCATTTTGAGGGAAGCAGTGCAGTTCCCACAGCCCAGTGATCTGGCAGTGGTGAGGGTTCTAGGGGGAAGAAGAGCAAGCTGTGAGGTCTGATCCCTCCACGCACCATCCCTCAGTAGGCGAGTGGCCTGATCCTTCTTGACCCCTGCTTTCCCTTTTCCTTCCTTCCTTCCTTCCTTCCTTCCTTCCTTCCTTCCTTCCTTCCTTCCTTCCTTCCTTCCTTCCTTCCTTCTTTCATTTTTCTCTCAGAGTCTCGCTCTGTCGCCCAGGCTGGAGTGCAGTGGCACCATCTCGGCTCACTGCAACCTCCGCCTCCCAGGTTCAAGCAATTCTCTTGCCTCAGCCTCCTGAGTAGCTGGAATTACAGGTGCATGCCACCACACCCAGCTTTTTTTTTTTTTTTTTGTATTTTTAGTAGAGATGGGGTTTCATCATGTTGACCAGGGTGGTCTCAAATTCCTGATCTCAGGTGATCCTCCCATCTCGACCTCCCAAAGTGTTGGGATTACAGGTATGAGTCATCATGCCTGGCCTTGATCCCTGTTTTCTGATCGCCCTAATTGGGAGAATAACTCCTCCCCTATGAGACAACAGATGAGAAAGTGCTTGGAAAATAAAAGCAATGTTCACCGTTGAAGATTGTAACATGTAGAGCGCTGCATGACTGCATTGTCAAACATTCATAACTCAGCTCTTTTCAGGTTCACAATCATGATCAATGCCTCCTGGACTACGAAAACGCCATCATAAGTGTTTACATTATTCTCTTGGGTGAGCGGAACTTTGGAAAGGAAAAAAAGGAAAGTCTAAACTGACAAACTTCTGAAAACACTCGGGTCTGGCTGGAGTTCTCTTCTCTCCCTGAGGGCAGAATTGGGGTTGAGTGACACTTGGTAGGCGTGGAGCACGCTTCAGTCTCGGCCCACTACCCCAGGCGTTTTCTCATCTGACACTCACAGCAGCCCTCAGGTGGGCAGACACGGTGTATTTATGCCTTTGAATTGAGTCCCTTTGGGGGAGCAGGAGGGAGGGAGGGTGTGAGTGTGTGTGCGGACACCGGTGCATGAGGGAGGCGGGACCTTTCTATTCCGATGCCAGTTACACAGACACCCTCACATCCTCGGATATACCGCCCCCGAGCCTGAGGTGCTGACAATATCCCCATTTTTCTCTATCCTGACAGCTTTGGAGATGCCAGGCCAGCCTCCCTTCCTAATCGGTCATTTTCTGAGGAGTGGCAGCTCAGGCAGTTAGAGTAGAACGCAGGGCTTCAATCCCTCTGTGGGGTGGGCCTTGTTTGCACAGGTGGGCCTTGTTTGCATGGCGTCCCGATGTCCAGCACGCCATCCCAGTCTATGAGAATGAGCTCTCCTTACGGTCACTGCGCAGTGGTCCGGTAGCAGCAGAGGGGGCGTGGTCGCAGCAGAGGGGGCGTGGCATAACAGCGCATGGTCGCTCCACTCACCCGCAGCTTTGTAGCCGACAGCAGCTTGAAACACGTGGCGCCGTAACAACCTCTACCCTGCCACGGGTGCATTCTTTTTTATTGTTTCCATTTTCTAGTTTGTGGCAGATTGGATTCCTGTTTCTAACTCTTCCCTCCCTCCCTGGTGTTGAATTTCATGTTTGCCTCTTTCGCCAGGTGGCTTTGCAGTGCGTTCCTGCCCTTCCCCGCCAAGAGTGGGTGCAGAATTTTTCCTGCTCCGCGTCAATGCTGGGTGTGGCTATGTACCCTGAAATTGCACTTGGAACTCAGCCTCTGCTGTCCTGTACCCACCAATAGGAAAAAATGTTGATCTTTTTTGCTGTAGGTCATTGAGATTTCTGGGGCTGTCTGTTATGTAGCATTATTGTAACGACTAGTTCCCAGGTCATTCATTCACTCAACAAACACTGTGTGGCTGCCTTGGGTTAGGAATGCTGCTAGGAGCTGGAGATAAAAAGACAGGACATAGTCTCTAGCCTCAGGGGTCTTACAATATAAGAGAGTTGTGGCTGTCAGGCTGTGAGGAGACAAGACAAAGCCAGTTCCCTGTCACACAGGGATTTTCAGAGTTTGGGGTGGAGAGGGTGGAAATGGGAGCCCGAGCAGGTGGGGTGCCTGGAGGGGTGGCCTACCTCTCACTCAGTACCACATGCCTCCGTGTCATAATTTGGGGTCCTGAGTAAGGTGCTATTTCCCAAAAGGATCCCACTGCCAGAACAGTTTGCAAAGCTCTGTGGGAGGAAGTTGCAGGTCACAGGAGGGGAAATTGAGATCACACGGACTCAATAAGGAAGACCGGGGCTGCCCCCAAACCTCAGGCTGGACCCACTGGGATCCATGGGGGAGCAGCAATGTCCTTCTCCTCTTTATTATTTCTTCCAAATACCAGCCCTAGGAGACATGTTAGAACCCGTCTAACTACATGTAATACCTCTTCACATCTCTGTAGGAATATAGGCAGGCCCGAGGCAGGGGGCTGGCTCAGGGTTCCACAGTGGCAGAGGCAGAGCCTCCACAGACCCCGCCTTGCCCTCCGTCACCAGCTTCTCCTCTCTGCCTCCATGATCTGAAACCTT